ATTACCTGCAAATTGAAAGAACTGACTCCTCATTGCTTATAAAGTCCAAACTGAATTCTGGAGTTTAAGATTATCCTACAATACTCCAAGCTATTTTCCTAATCCTTTTTTCTTTTCTGGAAACCTGTCTTCTCACAAAATTGCCTTTTATCACTCTCTTTTTTAATTTTTATTTTATTTTTAGAAGAATACGAAATTATAGAAAATTAAAAACGATACAAAATTTCATTAAACAAAGTACTAGGAGTTCAACAATGGTTGTTGTATTGTATAATGTTATCTTCAAATTATTTAGGTTACCAGATACAAACCTGCATAAAACTGGCTTTAAAAAGTTTTAAGAAGTTAAGAAGAAAAAAAAAATTTAAGCATTAACTGCTCCCTTCAGTAGACTAGCAAAAATTAGCAGTACAGTTATCCAAATGATCCTGCATGTATACATGAATATGTCTTTTCCCCGTCTTTCTTTTATCCATTTCATCATTCCAATTTTTCCTTCCCATTGAACAGATTCTTTCCCTTTCACAGTAGCTATTGTACCTTTCAGATTTTATTTACTCTTTAGGTTTCACACACTAGCGAGTCAGTCTCCATTTTTTAGAACACTGTCCTACCTTCTCTTGATTTGTCAAAAATGGACTCACTCAAAATCCAGCTCAGTTCTGACCCACTGTATACATCGTCCCCGGGGGGTCAACCCGTAGCTACTGCGCCATCTCTTTCCTTTGTATATTTAAGGAGTGGGTGTACATGGAAGATCTCAGAAGACAGCCTGCAAGGGAGGAGGAGGGCAGGGCAGGAGATGGGAGGGACGGCACTGATGGCAGGCTCCCTCTGGGGACAGTGTGTTTTCACTTAGCCTTCCTTCCGCATTGCTCCTTGTGACTCAGTCCTGGGACCTGGGTCGAGGCAGACGAATGGCCTGACAGGGCCAATGATCTCTAGTCTAGATTTACTTTTCAACTCCCTAAAGCCACAGTGATTCTTCTGACTTTTCATTGCTTTAAGAAAACCTGTGCCTGTCATGGAAGTGACTCAGAGAACTTGGTGATCTCTCAAAAACCCTGGCCCTGAGATCATTATTTATTCATTAATAAAGCTAGAAATAAGCACATCTGTCACCCTCAGAAGTTTTCTCTGCCAAAGCACGTATACCACATTGGGTGGCCTTATTCTCTATGCGCTGAAGTTGGGCTGGATGTCATGTTTGTATGTGTCAAGGTTCCTATTTTTTATTTTAAAACTTAGGAATACCAGAAATCTTCCCAGTTAAACAGAAAACTATCCTAGAAATAAATAACATATTGTTCATTCTCCCAAACCCCCCTCCAGGATTTCATCACATATCTTCATTGCCTAGAACCCCCCTTCCTGCTATTTTAGATTTGTGCCCAGTTCTGTAGGTGTGGCAAGATAAGGTGTGAAGTCTCAGTGTGAAGTCAGGATTCCAGTCTCATCCCCTGAAGGCCTGGCCCACTGGAATCACAATCACCAGCAGCAGATCAGGCTTGGGTCTCGCCTATACCTAACACAACCCTTGCCTGCCTATACCACAGATGGTTGTTAAGGCAAAGGCATAGGGAGACAATCTCTGCTCCAATGAAGGGAGAAACACTTCCTGTCCTAAGATCAACAGTCATCCTTGAACTAAATGCTTCGGTGGCCCCGTCCATCTGTGACACACAGAAAGGAAGCTTCTACCTTTAAGCCTGAAAGCTATACTCATCCTCTTCCTTGGGCTTGGGTTTCACCCAGGAGGTGTTCAATGACTTGAGATTCTGCCTCTAGGTCTTTTGCCTCTAGTGCAGCTTGACTTCTTGGGCACTGGTCTTGACTTTCTCCTTTGTCCTCCCTGATAGGGACTTCTAGCCTGATACTGTATTAGAGAAGGTCCTGTCAATTCCTCCAGCACCTGTCCTCAGGTCCCACTTCTGACTCACCGTGGTGATTACTGTGATGAACTGCAGCCCAGGACATGACACTGACCAATACCTAGGATGCATGGTTATTAGAAATTCAAACCATTGGTTTTATTTTCTGATTAAGGTTCCTACAATGCTGGGCATGGTGGAGTGAGTTTATAATGCCACCTATTTGGGAGCCTGAGGTAGGACAAGTTTGAAGTTAGTGTGGGCAAAATAGTGAGACTTCATCTCAAAAAGAAATCTGGACACTTTTATGGCTTTTTAAGGAAAAAGGATATGATTTAAAATATAAATATCAGTTTGATTCATTTCACTTAAGAGTATGGTCTTAAGGTCCATCCATTTAGGTAGAAATGGCTCAAGCATCTTCTTTAGGGAAGAATAGTACTCTATTATTAAAAAACCCCCACGTCTTCTTTATCCATTCACCAATTGATGGGTATTTGGGCTGTTTCCAAGATTTAGCTATTATAAACTATGCCACTATCAACAAGGGCATGCATATATTGGTGTAGTGTCATGTTTTAAATTCTTTCAGGAAGATAACAAAAAGAGGAGTAGGTGGGTCAAATGGAACATCTATTCTTGTTTTTTTTTTTTTTTTAAGAATACAAAATAGTGATAATAAAAACAGCATTAGAAACCACACAAAATTTCACTAAACAAAGTAATAGGAATTCAACAATGGTTGCTGTATTATATGATGTTATCTTCAAATTAGTTGTTTAGGTTATTGGTTATAAATGTGCAAGATGGTTTAAAGAAAAACTGAAACAAAACAATAACAAGAAAGTTGTAAGAAATTCAACAGAAAAAAAAGAGAATAAAAAAATTAATCATTAACTGCTCATTTCAAAAGACCAGTAGAAATCAACAATACAGTTATCCAAACTATCTTGCATATATACCTAAATATATCTTTTTTCCTTTTTTCATTTGTCTTTTTCCTCATCTCAGTTTTTCCTTCCCCAAAATATGGAACACTTCACAAATTTTCATGTCATCCTTATGCCGGGGCCATGCTAATCATCTCTGTATCATTCCGATTTTGGTATATAAGCTACCGAAGCAAGTGTGTATTCCTAGTTTTTTGAGGAATCTCCACACAGGTTTCCACAATCATTGCAGGCCCACAAACAGTGAAGAAAGGTTCCTTTCCCCCTGTAAGCAGTTGTTATCACTTAATTGCTTGATAATAGCCATTTTTTTCTGGGTTGAGATAGAATCCTAGTTTTTCAAATTGGCATTTCTCAAATAACTAGTGAGGTTGAAGATTTTTTCATATATTTGTTTGTCATTTCTACTTCTTGATCTGAGAAGTGATTATTCAGGTTTTTGGATTGGGTCTTTAAATTTAGGATGGAACTCTGATTTTTTTTGAGTTCTTTACATATTCTAGATGGTAGTTCTTTGAGGAACAGCTGGTAACTATGTTTTCCACAGTGTGGGTGGTCTCTTGACTCTGTTGGTGGTTTCCATTGATATAAAAAAAGCTTTTTAATAAGATGAAAGCCTATAGAGTGAAAAATATATATTAATTCTAAAAGTTGAAAAATTTGCATGTAAGCTCAAGAAGAGTTTACATAAATTTGTATTTTATTCCATTTATTTCTCCATTTCTGGCTTGCTAACTCCATGCCCCATCATTTCTAAACTATTTTGGGCCTTTAAACATGCCAGGCTTTGTCTTGTCTCTATGAATTTGTTTATGATGCTTTTCAGGTTCTTGAAAATGTTAGGAACTTAATGTTTGGTGGATAAATGTTATACCTTACAAACCGCTTTGCTCAGACTGTCTAGCACACAGAATCTAAAACACATTAAATCAACAAATAGTAATACTGTGCTCCAAGAGGAAAGTAGCACATTCTTAACTTTGGAAATTCCCTTATGAACGAAAATATCATCTGTCTCTGCAAAGGAAACGAGTCTTTTAAAAAGCTGGGAAATATGAAATCTTGACGATGCTATAAATTAACAAAATGCCCTGGATGTTGGAAATAAGAGAAAACCCGGTTGGCTGTGGTCAAGAAGGGAAACTGGAGAAAGAATTAATTGACAACAGCTGCCCATGATGATTTGCTAAACTTGAGCCCTCTTGGTCATTTCTTTTCACAAATAAAGTACAAGATAGTGATGCCCCTATAAAAGAAAAACCAGTTTTCTGGGGAGTGAAGAGTTAAGTTTCCAGCTATAATGCATACACTAAATATCCTTTAAAAAATAGCCACCTTACTAAAAAATGCTTTATATGCTGAATGCAAACCGAACCAAACAAAAGCACACAAAATATCACTGAATTCTTGGTTTTGCTGGCAGGAAAACTGAAGGAAACTTGCAAGGGGTAAAAATGAAGCAGAAACATAAATCCAGGCCTGTGTGGCAATGCTGAACGCAGTGGCCATGTAGGCATTCCAAAATTCCGAGGCTTCTGTTTGGGTCATGCAGAGTACAGGGTCAAAGCATAGGGGCCCTAATTGGAGACTCACATCAGTTATGGGCCCTGCCCATGAAATGCAACATCCATTTGATCTTGTTTTTTGATGAAGAAAAATATTCCTGGAGAAGCTGTACCTACAACGTAGTCATTACGCAGGTAGGAGGCACACATCACGATGAATCCTAACCCAAGAATTCACTTTAAAGCACCATCTTGGTAAAGTTCAATGCTTCACAGAGGCAAAAGCAGATATTCTCTGAAGGAATGTACTTTTAACCCAGGCCTCAAAGAATTTCACCTGACAATATTCTCAAAGAAATAAGAACTCAAAAAAAAAAAAAAAATACAGTTACCCAAGCAAAAAGCTATCATGAGCAAGAGTTGAAATAAACAAATGCCAGATTTAGAGAGAAAAGGATTATACTTATTAAAACCATTCAATACAGAATATAAAGTAAACTGGGAATAAGGAAATGGAAATCTCCTCACAAAAGGAACAATAAACTTTGACCAAGTGGAGTTAATGAAGAACCAAACAGTACACCTAGAAATGAATAATAAATAACTGAAATTAAAAACTCACCGAGCAGATTAGGGAGTAGAATAGATATATCCGGAAGAGAGAACTAGTTAAGCAGAAGGAAGAGCTGGGGAAATCACATGTAACACAGTTTGAAAGTATGAAGAGTGAGTAGGAAGTGAGGACCAAAATAAAAAATTTTAATTTATCTCTAGTCAGAGGGCCAGAAAGAGAGAATAGAGAGTGACAGACACACAATTTTCAAAGAGGGAAAGAATGGATATTTTCCAGTATTTCTGAAAGATCTAAGCCTTCAGCCTTAGATCAATGAATCTCAAGTAGGAAAAATGAAATGAAAATGACAGCAAGATACTTCATAGTGAAATTGAAAAAGATGATGACCAAAAAAGCTAATAAACATGGTGAGAGAATAAATAGATTACCTGGAAAGGGATGACAATTAGACTAACAGCTTACTTTCCAAAATGTCAGAGGGAGCCAGAAAAATGGTGAAATTATATTTTCAAAGTGCCGAGAAAAAGGAAATATGTGATATGAGGTGTATCTGTAATATGTAGCGGGCATCAGAGACACTAATACAAAATAAAGAGAATATAATACCCACCATTAAGCCTTCACATCCACCAGACAGATTACTAGATGCTGCAATAGAAGTTGAGAGGTTCGATTTGTACCTTGGACAAATGCCAGAAGCATCCCTAATGGCCAACCTTAGAGTTTTCTTTGGGAAGATTGAATAACTTTGAGAAGCAAGTCACAGAGAAAGCTTTGTCATCCAGTGGCCCAAGTTATCAAATATTAAAGTCTCGAAGACTTCACAAAGTGGAGTCGAGCAAGTGTTTCTTGGGCCAAGCGTTTCTGGGCCTGGAGTTAAGACAAGGGGTTGCCTACGCTTGTTCTTCCTGAAACAGCACTAGAAGGGATGGTGCTTGACTCCCTCAGTCCTGACCAATGTTTGGATAGAAGGAGTCAGAAATTAAACTTACTGTTCAATGAACTTATCTATAAATGAGAAAAATTGAAAGTTATTTTTAAATATTTTACCTTTCCTATTTGCCACATTTGTTTTAGACTTCAGTGCTCTCACATACTTTGAATTGCATGTTGGCTGATGAGAGCGTTGGTGGGCTTGGCTGCCATGTTTTCCAGCTCATGGTATTATTTCTGAGATTAAAGAGGAAATGTATAAGGTCTGGGAAGGAAACTGCCTTCTTTACTTGGTACCTTTCTCTGTGGTGTATTGTAGTATGTGTAGGATGGTGCCGGCCAGGCAGTAGACGGGCTAAATGTCCGTTCTCTTTGCTGGTGCCAAGAAGCTCAAGCCAGCATCAAGAAGCAGTGTGAAGGACTGACCAGATAGCTCAGCAGACTACAGTGCCTGCTTAGGCAGGCTTAGGGACTAGGGTTCGATCCCCAGTGTGCTGTGCTGGCCCTGTCCCCAGGAGGTGCTTAGACGGTGATTGAGACTGGGCTGGTGGCATGCACCTGTAATCCCAGTGCTTGGGAGAATGAAAACAGGAGGATTACTACAAGTCTGATCTATATAGTGAGACCCTGTAGACCTTGTGATAAATACATTTAAAAAAAAAAAAAGCAGCAGCATGATTGGATACAGTGTGCTGTATTTCAAGGTCAAAGGGTGGGAGGGTAGATTTAGAGGAAAAGGGTTTCATTGAGGATGCTAAAAGACAGATTCTCTTAGGGACTGAAAATCCAGCTAAGCACAGAAGCGATGCTTCCCCAGTTTGCCCTTGGGGGAAAACACAAACAAAAACAAATAAACTAAAAAACTCAGAGAAGACTAGTGCGGTTGTAGCAGCATAGATTACTGCCTGGGAGGAAGAAGGCAGGAATGACAAAGGATATTCATCCTTTTCCACCCAGATAAGACTTCTACTGCCTCATGGAAGCCAACCATGGTTTTCCAGAAAGTGTCCATGGGCTGCTGTCAGAATGAGAATCTGCCTAGGCTGGGAATGTGCTACTCAATGCTGCCATCTCCATTCCTCTCAAATGTGATCTCTGGTTATAAGAGCAGTTTTTTCAAAGAACTGGAAATACAATTCAACAAGGGTCAGGAGTGATACTTGTATATGTGAGAGCTTCAAAAAGCATAGTTTAGATTCATAACTATTTGAATTTCCGAACTATGTTCAATGCGTTGAATAGACAATAGTTAAAATAACTGAAATGTGGGTCTGGGGAGATAGCTTGGTGGTCTAAGCGCCTGCCTGGCAAGTGCAAGGTCATGAGTTTGACCACTGATACTGCTTGCCATGCATGGTGGAGCATGTGTGTAATCTCAGTGCCGGGGAGGCTGAGACAGGAGGATCACTACAAGTCTGAGAAGATCCTGTATCACCCAAAATAAATGAAGCCTGAAATGAGAACAAGCTTACTAAATCTGAAGCACAAAGCCGTCGATGGATCAAGAAACCATTGTTTCTCCATATAACATGGATTATACCTATTTGAACTGATAGTGGAACTTCCCTAGCACTCTGGGTTTCAGCAGCAGAGATCAGTCAAGTCCTTAACTAGTCATAGCTTTCTTTTTCTCACCCTTGCTAGTGTCAGGCAAACAAGCACATTTATATATTGGTTAGTATTTTCCTTCCAAATTTATAATGATGTTCTTTGTGTGGGTGTTGGGGTTAGGAAAGTGAAGTGCGCCAGTTACTGGAAAGGAGAAGAAGGAATTGAATAGTGGGTGGAACACAGGAGATGGGAAGGTGGGTGAGGCGCTGGGGCCGCTTCCCTGGACTTCCAGAAGTCCTCGTAGGCCGAGGCCTGTCTGAATTGTCCATGTCCACAACTGGCCCTGGGCTGGAGTTCTTCAGGGCACATTTAGAGAGGATTACTGTTTTTACATTTGGCTGCTCAGATTTCTGGGCTTCTTTTCAAACCTTTAAATTGGGAGATTTTTCTTATTCACTTTAAAGAATTTTGCTAAGAGTCTGTAATCCAGCTGTTCTTTCAGGAACTTGCGTAACCCATGGACAAATCAGTAGCGTTGTTCTGAAGCAAGAAGTTCTCAGCAAAGTTTCACATCCGCCCTGCTGACCTGTAAGCTACAGATTCCTGCTTCTTT